ATTTGATATAGTCATTACATATAGATCAATCCTCCATAAATAATTCATAATTAGAGTCAGGTAGAATCCGTTAACCTCTCTAGTTACATCTTTATCCTTGAGTACCATTGATTCTCTAATGGATAGTGATTCATAAAACACATTCATGAACCAGAGCGCTCTTACTAATCCAAGTACCGAATCAACACTCAAGAGAATTATTTATCTACTTCTTTCTCAAGAAGGAATGGATTCCATCTCGTATAATAACATTCCCAGCTACCTATTTCATTATGTCTCCAAAATACAAGAATATGATTCAGGGTTTCGGAATCCGTACCGAGTAAGTCAAAAGACATAAATCCATAAATAGGAGTTTGTTAAGAACTCAGGATTATGATCATCCTATATATGACCATCAATAGACTCAATTAGAATTTCTATGCTTAACGGAAATGATTAAAAATTCATATTGTGTCTGCGTCCATGTTCCACATAATCTCATTATGCGAAATACACTCATTCAATATCTCGTCATATTAACTGTGCGGATAACACCGTTCCATTCTAAATAGGAATGACATGTATTTATAATGTTTTAATTAAAGATTCTGAACTTTAATTAAATTCATTATGAACAATTACTTTTGATTATTATCCTTAAACATTATCCTCTCGTATACAACACTTATATACCATGTTTAAGGTTACATAAATAATCAAGGAATTTTATTTGATATTCATAAAATATTCATAAATATATGCACATAAAATGATGAATAAACTCTTTTATTAAATAAATAATAAATATCCTTTTACATCTCATGTTTCTAGGATACTATTCCCAACATATACAAGATTACAATAACACTGTACAAAGTAAATAAATATTTACAAATTATAATAATATAATATAATTTGAAGCTGAAGGATTTAAAAGTTAATATATTAAATTCATCGATCCATTCTTGGCTTGCCGGCAAAATTGTATCATTTAAGCGTTGGTCGGAATGATCTCAATCCTTGATTTACACCAAATCTTCAACAATGTCCTGTTGCAATGCGTTTCTACGTTCCTCAAGTATTTGGCCGGTCGTACTGAAGGCTTATTCGGATGAAACAGTGGAGATTGGGATCGAAAAAATATCCATTGCCAGTCGAGTTAGGATCAGCCAAGTTAATGTTCGTGTCCTCCACCACTGAACCAAATTAAACATTTCACTATTGTGGACTACTAAGCCCTCACTCAGGTACGCTATTAACTCGTTGAAGCCACCGTTGTTGCCGCCACCTCTTGATGAAGATCCACTCCTAGATTCTTCTTGACCTTCAGTCGTTGTCGTCGTCTTCTTCTTCTTCTTCTTCAACCTGAAAACATTCAAGAATGAATGCGGATTGTCGTCACGTTGTTGCGGTTGTTCTACATGAGGTGAGTTTCTAAACCTACTTTAATAAGAGCTATAGAGAGATAATATTTTTCTCTTTATAATAGGAAATTGGTCAGAATAGTTGATATCTAAAAAGTCACATAAGTTTTCTAATCCACTTTCTAAACCTTCTAATTTTAATCTAGGATAAAAAATAACACCGAAACCATACAACATTGGTAATTTAGCCCAATATTTTTTAAACTTCTTTTCCATAGAAACGATAGGAACTCCTAAAACTTCGTGTGTCCTAAATTTTGAAAATAAAATAGCCATTCTTAAAAGTTCTCCAAACGTTAATGGTGACGTTGGGTAATATGTTCCACTAAGCTTTAAAGTAATTTCGTGAAATCTACCTAAAAAGTTATACAAGAGTTTAACAATTTGCCAATCAGTTTCGTCTATAAATCAAGGTCCTAATTTTGCACTAACATAGTTTGTTATAGCATCTTTATAGGGGATGCATTGTTCAAACATTATATAAGTAGAATTCCATTTTACATGCATATCTAAGGCTAATGCTCTAGGATTTTGATTACATGCTTGTAGAAATTTAAACCAATCTTGTATTCTTTGATTACTACATTGAATCCATGCAATGTTATCTCTAATTCTTTTAATATGACCTGAAATTGATTTTAAACCGGATTTTACTATTAAATTAATTACATGACATGCATAACGTTGGTGAAATATATCATTATTACCGAATAAACTTAAATCCTTTTCAAAAAGTTATATTGCTTTAGTATTTGCAGTAGCATTATCTAATGTTATAGCTATTACTCTATCCCTTAAACTATATTCATCAATGACAGATAAAATTGTATTATAAATTAAATCAACGGTATGTGATCCTAGAGCACATTTAAAACCTAATATTCTCTTATCTAAATCAAAACCTTTAAAATAATGTCCGATTACAGCTAAATAACCTTTGTTGGCAACGGCAGACCAAATATCCACCGTTAACGCAACGCAACCACTAGTAGAGTGTAAAAGGTTGATTAATGCTTCCATTTCTTGTTTATATAATTTTAATGCATCTTTCCTAAGAGTAGTTCTTGAAAAAAATTGTGCATTAGGATAATGTACAATTTTAATATAACGCTACCAATTCCTTTGTTCGGTAAAACTAAGTGGTTGATCTAATGTGGCTACTAATCGTATCATTTCTATATGATCGACTTGCGGATCGTATTTCTAAGTGGTTAGACCGCCGGTTTGGCAGTCAAATGATAATTGTGTTTGGCAGAGATTGGGTCCGCCTCCTTGCTTTTGAAGACACTTTTCGGAGTGTCTTCTCAAGTGTTATGCCGTGAATAGTGTTACCTTGTAATTTATCACCACAATATTTGCATTGAGCTATGTATTTAATGTTACCGTTATTGTCGACCTCCTCGAATGTGTTGAAGTGCGCTTGCATTTCTTCTTGGAACTTTCAACACTTGCACTAGCACTTCTGCTTGCCTTTCCTCCACGCCCACCATCATTACGACCACGAGGTCCACGACCTCTAGTACGTCCACCACAGCTCAGATTTGCAGTTTCCTCAGCGGCTCTTTCTGGTGTTTACGATTCCTGCGTTTGAAAAATATTAGTAGGAGGAAATTTTCCTTCTTCAATGTAGAATTGGGCATCAACGGAAATATCACCACTATAACCGGAAGAATCCATTATGAAAAATAAGAGAGATCGAGAGCGCTTTGAGAGAGATTAAGAGAGATCGAGAGAGATTTGAGCGAGATTTGAGAGAGATTAAGAGAGATTTGAGAGAGATTGAGAGAAATTAATAGAGGATGAGAGTTTTTGGGTGAGAAAAATGGTTGGGGGAGGGGGGTATTTATAGGAAATTTTTTGGCTTGAAATTTTTTCCCCCCCCCCTAAAAAATTCGGCTCTAACGGTAACAAATTTTTGGACGGGTCGGGTCGAATTCGGACAGCTCATGCAACGGTATAAAATAGAGCCGTTGGAGTCGGGCAAAACGGGTGGCGGGTCGGGTCGGGTAAATATAGCCGTTGCATTCAAATTTTAGGGCAAAAATCAAGCTAATGATCAAAAAATTATATGTTCGGGTCGGGTCGAGCATAAATTTAAAAAAACTAGCCTTTTTTTTGGGTATTTAGGCAAAAATCGGGCACAATTCAGGCTTCAGGTTACGGTAAAAAATTCAAAAAAAAAAATAATGGCGGCCGGCGGTCACAACCCCCCTACCGGCGGCAGGTTAGGGGGAATGCTTTTTTCTCGGGCTGCCCGAGCCCGAAAATTTTTGGGCTTCAGACAAACCCGCCGTCTGAAGTTCTACCACTACATTGAACATCGGGGAGAAACGTTTCGTACATGCCCTTTTTTTTTTTTTTTTTTTAAAGGTGGTATGGACGAGATCCGAAGGCGCCGATCAAACCAACTCTCAACACAAACCAACAGACCAAATTTCAAAAACAATTATTATTATTATGTTTTTTTTTTTTAAATTCCTCTGGTATGTTTTCGTTGTTTTAAAACAGAAAAAACCAAATAAACAAAAAGTGAGCCAAAAGATAGAAAAAGAAAGACAGAAAAGGCCAAAAAAAAGGGGCAAAAACGAGAAAAAATACACCGTCCCTTCTCTTTCCAACTTCTCACTCTTGCCCTCTCAGAAAAAAGAAGAAGAAGAAGACGTCGAAGAAGAAGAAGTCAGTCTAGGGTTTGGGAGGAGGAGGAGGCGAAATCGAAGGGATCTGGATCTCTAAAACGGTGCGTTTTGAGGAGAAGAAACGCATGGAATCGGTCCCTTCGAACTCCCATGGAAACCTCGATGAGCAGATTGCTCAGCTCATGCAGTGCAAGCCCTTGTCCGAACAAGAGGTTCTCACATTTCTTCCTCTTTCTTTCCATTTCTCATCTTTTCTCTTTTAAGATGAAGTTTCTTTCGGATTTCTTCGTTTCTCTCTCTGGTAATGCTATCTTTCTAGGGTTAGTGCGATTCAGATCGAGAAATTTCATGCTTTTTGTTGTGATCTGTGATTCTGTAGCTAAATTATTACTCTATTTACGCGACTGATCTCATATTCTTGAGAGAATCTTGTCCAAATAGAATGTGGGATTGGATTTATCACCAGATCCCTTCAAAACACGGTTCTCTTGTTTGGTACTAGATTCATGTGGAAAGCCTACCAAAAACGTTATGAAAGTTGTTGTTTTGCTGAAATGACGTCATTGGAATAGTACCTTTTCAGGTGCCATTTGATTTGAACTAAAATTCCTTTTGTTCTTGAACTTGGACTTAGGGTACTTGGTTTGGTGGGCAGTGAAAAAAAAAGGTCTTATTTTTAGGTGTGTGTGTAGAACGCCGCGAATTGTTTCCTATTTATTGCTTCAAAAACCCCATTAAATAATAAAAATACGCCTTTGTTATTAATAAATGATTGGCATATTGGGTTTCTGAACCCATTAGGTGTAGCAGCAAATTTTAAGAGCTGGGGTTTCTCCTCTCCAAGTAGTAATATTATGAAATCAAGTCGAAGAGTTCTTTCCCTGTTGGACCAGTGTCTCACCTTTACACAAATCAAGCAAATTCAATCACACCTCGCTGTTTCAGGCACCCTTTTCGATCCCTATGCTGCAGCCAAGATTATCGCCTTTTGCTCAACGTCTGATGCTAGTTATGTTTGCCATGCTTATCGTCTCTTTCATTGTATGCCTTACCGGACCACCTACATTTGGAACACTATGATTAGAGCCTTTGCTGAAGGAAATGAGGCCATAAGAGCCTTGTCTCTTTACAAGAATATGCTAGAGAATGGCTTTTTACCAAACAACTACACCTTCTCCTTCCTCCTTAGGGCTTGTACTGAGCTTTCTGACCTCTCTTTGGGCTTCACAATTCATGGTCAAACGATCAGATTGGGCTGGGAATCATATGACTTTGTGCAGAATGGACTAATCCATTTGTATGCTACTTGTTTCTGCATGGACCCAGCTCGTAAGTTGTTTGATGTGAATGTAAACAGGGATGTTATAACGTGGACTTCTTTAATCAATGGGTATGCCAAGTCAGAACAGCTTTTGATTGCACGCGAATTGTTTGATAAAATGCCAGAAAAGAATACCGTTTCTTGGAGTGCTATGATTAATGGCTATTGCCAAGTTGGATTGTTCAAAGAGGCTTTAGAGCTTTTCAGTGACATGCAGGCTTCTGGTTTTGCACCTAGTCATGCTGCTATAGTGGGTGCACTAACTGCTTGTGCTTTCCTTGGTGCATTAGACCAAGGAAGGTGGATACATGCGTATGTTGGTAGAAAAGGAATGCAAATAGATAGAGTGGTGGGTACTGCTCTTATTGACATGTACGCTAAGTGTGGCTGTATACAAACTGCTTGTGTTGTATTTGATGGGTTGTCAGAGAGGGATGTGTTTGCTTTTACTTCTTTAATTTCAGGCCTAGCTAATCATGGTCAGAGCACAAGGGCCATTGAGTTATTTATGAGGATGCAGAGGGAGGGAGTTCAACCAAATGAGGTTACGTTTATCAGTGTCTTGAGTGCTTGTAGCCGAATGGGATTGGTAGATGAAGGGTTGAGAATCTTTGAAAGCATGAGAAGTATTTACGGGATTGAGCCACGGGTCCAGCACTATGGATGTTTGGTGGATCTCCTGGGGAGAGTTGGGATGATAGAGGAGGCCAAAAAGGTGGTAAGAGAGATGCCAATAGAGCCAGACTCATATGTCTTGGGTGCATTGCTTAATGCATGTAGAGTTCATGGTGATGTCGAGTTGGGTCAAGAGATGGTTTTGTGCTTGGCTGAGCAAGGATTAGACCATAGTGGGGTTCATGTTCTTCTTTCAAACATGTACGCGTCTGCTGACCAATGGGATTTTGTCACTAAAGTAAGAAAGAAAATGGAAATGAAGAAGGTGGCAAAAGTGCCAGGCTGTAGTTCAATTGAAGTTGATGGTTTGGTTTATGAATTCGTTGCTGGAGATAGGTCCCATGTGCTCATGGACGAGATAGTATTATCATTACTTTCCATTGAAAAACATTTGAAGTCTATATGGTTTGATAATACCAATGATGGCAAGATTACTGATTAAATTCTGTTGCATAGTTTTTTCTTACTAGCCATCATGGATGTCATAAAATCTCCACCATTGCTTGTTGTAACAGTTAGTTGATTTTTCTCAATTTAGTTTAATGCATTTTCAAGTGTTCTTGTATCAATCTACAATTCTACATAAGAGGATTTCATTTTATTTTTGAATTTGGATTCTCTTCTTTTGGTTTCAACATTTCAGCATCCATTAACTTTTTTAAGGCCACCAATACTATGTTTTGCGAGAATAAGCTTTGGTGATCCTGTTAGGGGCATTGAGTTTCTTATTAGCATCAATTACCATGAAAAAAAGAGAGGGAGAGAGAAAAAGACAAGAATTTGATTTTTGGGTGAGGGGGGGCGGTTGAGAGGGGGCGGGGGGTGAGGATGTGTCGGAAAGGCTATTTCAATTTCGTTCCCCTTTTTTTCTCTCCCTTTTGCTTATTTGGGGATTTACACGTTTACTCTTAGTAGGGTGTGGCTTTTCCATGGTAGTAACAATTCCTACCTAATGAAGAACTGGTTCTACTTATCAGATAGTGTGTCATTTAAGCTTGCATCTGGTGCTCATTAAATATCTGTTTTGTAAGCCATTGTAGAGGTGAATCTGTTCACTTCATTTCTTTTAATATTCTGAAAACATCTTATCATCCTCTCCTGAAAGCTGCATTTTTGGGGTTTTTTTTTTTTTTTTTCAATGGCTGGCTAATTGTTCACTCCTCTTCACCTTTGACTATAGGTAAGGACGCTGTGTGAGAAGGCTAAGGAGATATTAATGGAAGAGAGCAATGTTCAGGTGCTTTATCTTGCCATTTTCTGTGTTTCTCAATCTTAGTAATTATTTTCTGATCAAAATTTTGGTGAATACTTTGATAAATTCTAATTGCTTTATGTTCAATCCTGTTTAAAAAAATATATGTGATGTTATTATAATACAAGCATTTTAAGTTTGAGTTATACAATGACGAGAGGCCTGGTTGGGTCTAAACATATGTGCTTCTTAACTATCAAGGGCTATTTGAGATAATCTTGGTGGAGCTTTTTTTTTCCTCTTCATTTTAATCGTCTAATTAATGCATTAGGATTTAATATTATCACGTGGCTTGATTTTTGTTTGTTTGGCATCTTGTCTACTGTCTTTTCTGCTTCTTGCTGCAAGGACAATCGTTTTTCCTTGCTAATAGAAGTAAATACCTTGGTGCATTTTTGCTTCTAACTTTTACCAGTTTCAGTTTCTATAATAGCATAGTGGTTTTTAATTTGTAGTGATTTATAAAGGTGTAAACTCTTGAAATTGTTTTATGCAGCCTGTGAAGAGCCCTGTTACAATATGTGGTGATATCCATGGGCAATTTCATGATCTTGCAGAGCTTTTTCGCATTGGAGGGAAGGTATTTATTATGTTTTGAGGCATTTTACGGAATTCAAATTTCCTTTGAAATGCTTCATACATGAGAAGGTGCATTGAAGTGAATTTAACGTAAAACGGAAAATATTGTAGTGACTTTTTATTCTGGATAATAGATGCATTATTGTAACTTGAGAAGATGCCTTGAATTGATTTGTACTTTTTCCAAGCTTTTGGTCTTTGACATGAACGGTAAGGATCTTTCTTGACACTGTTAATATTTTCCACTCTAAAAGTCTCTTGTGTATATATTAACTTTGCAGTTTTATTGAATGAATGATTTGGGAACATGTATTAGCTTAGTTCACGGCACAATAATTTGTTGCATTCCCTGGTTTCCATTGGAAAGGAGGGAAGAATTAAAAATCTAGTTCACTAGGTTTTGCACATTCAAATCTTATTGGTATCTACAGGATTTATACTTGAATTTAATTGGAATACTGCTGCTTATACGTGTTTGGTACTCGAACTTGTGTAGAAATTCTTTCCGAAATTTTTAATAGGAATTAATCTTTATCAGATTGCATTATTTTCCTTTACTTTGCTTCCTTTTCCAAATTCCAATATTTTCTCCATTTTGTCTTAAATAAAGACAAGTATATTTTCATTATTGTAATTTGTTCTTAAAACTTCCTCTGTCCTTGTTAGTCGTTACCTGACATTTATTTATTTGTTTGTTTAATTGATTTATATGCATGTCTGGAAAATTTACACTTACAAGTGCAATATTGATTTTCAGTTGCAATTTTGTTGTAGTGTCCAGATACAAATTATTTGTTCATGGGAGATTATGTTGATCGTGGATATTATTCTGTGGAAACTGTGACGGTAAGCATTATTAATATTTTATGTTTAACTTATGAAACTTTTCATTCCCTTCACATGCTTATGTTTTAATTTTCCTGGTTTAGGCACGGAGCACCAAAACAAAAGAACTTTCAGAGTCTCTGTGGAGCTTTGTTTTTGTTTTTGTTTTTGTTTTTTTGTTTTGTTTTTTGTTTTTTGTTTTTTTTGTTTTTGTTTTTTGTTTTTTGTTTTGCTTTTTTCCAGTTGGGGGTGGGATCGTTATTGAAAATTAGGTATAGCTGTGATTGTTTTTGGTACAAAAATTTCTGAAGACTTGGGTTGAGAGGAATAATGCAAGCCTGTTTCATCTTGCCTTTTAGCTTCCATATTTATTATCTGATTTTTATCATGTACTTTACTAATTAATATTGGATTTTCATGGGAGTTCTAAGTTATTAGTGTATTGAATTACTTATGAAGTGTTAATTCATCTGTTCAGCTCCTTGTCGCTTTGAAAGTGCGTTATCCTCAACGGATTACTATTCTAAGAGGAAATCATGAAAGCCGGCAGGTAGACCATTGTTTTAAGGCTTGTGAATTTGATTCTTATACTTTATTTCATTGATTTCTTTCTTTGTTAGCTTTTTTTTTTTTTTTTTTAAATACATTGGAACACTTGAATAAATGCTTATTCCCATTCTTATTCATTTTCTTTCCAATTCCTTTCCTTTCTCACTCTGTTTGTTCCATTATGTTTTAGTATACGTGCCATTTGTTGTTTCTTTTGTTTTCGCTTTTCTTTTTCTCTCTTTCTCAGGATGTTATGATTTATGTGTCACTTTATTCATCTACACCGAAAGCTTATTGTGTCCATTTGTCTCCCCATTGCAGATTACTCAAGTTTATGGTTTTTATGATGAGTGCCTGCGGAAGTGAGTTTCTCAGCACCTTTCTAATAGGGTTCTATTTTGCAAAATGTAGATTGTCATGTCTATAGCTTGTTGCATTGTCTAAAACTTCAGCTTGAAATTACTGTATACTATTATTTTACAATATGGTATCAGTAATCGTGCCTTAAAAAAAAAATTGTGTTTTCAGAGTAAGTTTGAAGGTTATCTTATTTTGCCTTTCTAGTCAGTAATCTGTAATATACAACAAAAATGACTATTTTGTGATTGGGATGTCTAATTAGTAAGGGTTTTGTAACTGAATCTTGAGTGACAGTGAGAACATGACATCCAATTGGCAGTCTTGAAATGAAAATTCAGTGAGAGCATATTAGTACGCAATCTGTGCATATCTTTTCCACTTATGCATGTTTTGTGCCCTGGACTGGCAGACCTATTGCTACTAGATGCTATACCTTTTATTCTTCCACCATCAATTATTACTCTAATTTGTTTGCATAATGGGATATCTATGAGATAATCGCAGAGGATGCCTATTCCTACTTTGTAGTCCTATACTTTGCTGGTGATAAAATATCTTTGAATATGTTCATTGCGTCTCCGATTTGTATTGCTCTCTGTTTTCTGGTTCTAAAGTTACAGATATGATTCAAGCCTTTTTTGGTAGGCCCTGTTGAGGAATGTCGGTGGCTTGTCAAATTTTTTATGCAAGCCTAGTTTATTTTGATTAACAATTAAGTTCAACTTCAAGAGTTATAACATGAAAATTTAGTTCTTGGACTGTAGGAGATTACAAGTATTATGATGTATATTGCTCCAAGAAAATTGATTGTGTTTTTGCTCATTAGAGCATTTTCCTCATGATTCGTAATGTTTAGGGGCTACAATAATTACTAATTTGTCATCTCAAATTCTCCAAATCCTTTAAATTTTGTGTATTTGATGTCATTTTTCACAAATCTGAAAACATAACTCATCCTTTCTGTTTGCAGGTATGGTAATGCCAATGTTTGGAAGATATTTACAGATTTGTTTGACTATTTTCCGCTTACAGCATTGGTTAGTATAATAAATTGGATGTTACATTTTCATAAAGCTTAAAGTATCAACGTTGAAGCCATTTTTTCCTTTGCTGTTTGTTACACTAGGCAATATAGCCATCAGTTTGATTACCTTTGCTTACTGAGGCCACTTTATGAAAGCATTTTTTTTTTTTTTTTTGGATAAGAAACATTGAAAATTTTATTAAAAACAAAAGCAGAACAAAGAGTATAGAAAAGGATTAAAGATGGATGAGATATAGCAGAAGAAAATACAAGATTACGCATCCTCCCACCCTAATATTATCAGTGGCTATGGAAAATCCTTAAAGGAAACATCTGTTGCAGCCCACAGAGAAGCAAGGGATTTTGCCTTCTCAAATAAGTCTTCAACGGCCATTTCCTTCTCTTAAAAAATTCATTAATATGATGCCACGTTTGAGATTGATGCTTTCATTTGGAGTCAATATGTTTATGATGCCACATTTGAGATTGATAGAACACTGTACATCGTAGACTTGCTTGTATGATTGTTTTATTCAGAAATTATTTTGCTACTAGTTTTCACCAGTTGCCTGTAATTTTAGTAACATTGGCAATTCTCAAACATATTTCCATTTGTATAGTGGTGGAAGTGTTTATTATACGTGCTTGATTACCTTGATATCTTTGCCCTTGCAACAATATGAAACATCAATTGTTTGATCTTTTTATTTTGATACTGTCATCATATATAAACATCTCTTCTATTTGAAGGTTGAATCCGAGATATTTTGTCTTCATGGTGGACTGTCTCCTTCAATTGAAACGCTTGATAATATACGCAATTTTGATCGTGTTCAAGAGGTTCCTCATGAGGGTCCTATGTGTGATCTTTTATGGTCTGACCCGGACGATCGATGTGGGTGGGGTATCTCTCCAAGAGGTGCTGGGTATACATTTGGTCAGGTATTTTACGTTTCTATAATGCTTTACTTATTCCTTCTGGTGAAGAGGTTACAAGTATGATTCTCTATTCATGATTTCTTCAGAGATCCATTTAACCTTTCTAAAAATATGCTTTCGCAGGACATATCTGAGCAGTTCAATCACACCAATAACTTAAAGCTTATTGCTAGAGCACACCAGCTGGTTATGGAAGGATACAACTGGGGCCATGTATGTATCTTTACTCTGTATTTCCTGGTTTTGTTTCAGTAAACTGAATTTATCTTAAGCAAATATGTCTGATATACTTTCCTTGTCACAGGAACAAAAAGTGGTCACTATATTCAGTGCGCCGAATTATTGCTATCGTTGCGGAAACATGGCATCCATTCTAGAGGTTGATGACTGCAAAGGCCACACATTCATTCAGGTTCATTCTCTCCAACCCTTTTGTCCTGTGTAAAAAAGAAAAAAAAAAAGGGCTGATTATATACTAATTATATGTAGTTATCTAAAACTACTTGACAATCCTTCTTTGGGGTATTCATGTGCTAAAGGTTGTTAAATGCCCATACACTAATTGCATGGCAAGAGCTTGATTGTGTGGTCTTTGTTTCAGTTTGAGCCAGCTCCGAGGAGAGGAGAGCCCGATGTAACGCGAAGAACGCCCGATTATTTCCTATGATAGTAGTTGCTGAATCTCCAGCGGCTAATGCCTGCTAGCTGGTTTTCATGTTCTGGGAGCTGCTTTTGTATTTAAAACTATATCATTCTGCTACGGTGGCGATCGGGTGGCAAAAAAGCATGTAAAACTGGCAGGTGAAGGCTTCCTCTGATTTGTTACGCTCAAGTCTTTGCAAACGAAGCAGCGCAGATGGCGAAACTTTCGTAGCGTGTGTACCATTTTCCGAGAAAATATGGCCTATTTTGTTCATGTGCTTTTCCTTTTTCTCCTTCCATTTCCCATATTTATTTCTGTGTTAGGATATGGTTATTTGGTGGTGGGGGTGTGTAGAGGGATGATGCGTTACTTATAATTGGTGCTTTTTTAATTTTTCTTTTTGCCCGTGTGAACCAAATGTTCTATTCAATAGGTTGATTTAATTTTACCTGTTATAATTAGTCTCAGTTTTCTATTTGGTCGCTTCCATCTATTTTCTTTTGCGCCATTTTCTGAACTCGTCGCTTTTCTAGCCTTTTATTTTTCCTATTTATATTGACGAATAAACGAACGATTTTAACTTCGGGAAAAATATCATAAATACCACTCAAAATAATAAAAACTATAATTTATACTACCCCGCCTAAAAATAAACAATTGCTAAGAAAAAGTAAAGAACTATAATGACATCTAATTATTTAAAATAGTAAAAATGTTAGGCCTCTACAAGATTATGATAAACCATGTATTTTCTTTAAACTTACACCAAGGTATTTTGAGAGCTTGTGGAATGTTTGAGTTTCTATTAGTAAGCATAATCTATTATTAGTAAGATCTAGGGAAATTGTCTCCCCCCTTAAAATGCATGGATCTTGATTAATGTTTTTTGATTAATTTCGCCCGTTGTTCTTGATTAATATCTTTTAATTAAAAAATTATATTAATTAACAGGATATTAATCAAGATTAGAAAGTAAAAATTTTAAAATAATACGCTCAAGGGTGAATTTGCCAATTTTCTCATAGAGATCTAATTTCCTAATGTTCTAGGCCCTGCGTGTTTGAGCCTCAGATGAATTCTTAATGGGATTGAGGTAATAGGAATTAAACTTATTTCTTGCTCTTATCAGAATAATAAAAGCAGAACATCGCACTGACGAATTGGAATGAGGGTCAAACAAAAGTAACTACCTCAGAAGCTTGGCTACTCGAATTATCATGATTACCAGGCTTTGGCATCACGATCACTTTACGTGGCATTAATTAAAGAAAAAAGAAAATTTTTTTTGTCAAACGCATTTAATAAACCAAAGTCATTGCTTAATAGTTTTTGTTGTTTTTTTTTTTTTTTAAATGCGAAAATAAAGGGTCCTAGAAAATGTCTATCCTGGCTACAGTATTTACAAAGGCCATACAACACCATTTTAGAAGGTAAATGTGCCCATTTGTCATAGAACAAAATCCTCATTCGTACGATGTAAGTTTCATGTTCTAATACATTTTTCTCTGTGACTTGTAGTATTCTCTCTCTCTCTCTCTCTCTAATGTTTCTTGAGGGACACGGTTAATGAAATGCCATGCTAGGTGATGGTAGAGATCTTGTGTAAGCCAGAGGCAACATCAGAAGTTTCTTCGTTCTCCCTACACATGCTCTCTTTGAAAAGTTATCGTAATCGTTTTCCTCGATTGCATCCAAAATTTCGCGGTATAGTAGTAACGAGGACCATACCTGCAGATTGTCAAAAAAGAAGCCAATACAAGTCACTTAACCAACAATTCACTACCATTTTGTTTTTTAAGCACTTAATCCCACCAATTACAGTTATGGAAACTATGGAATTGTGCCTAGAACTCAATATGCATGTTCATTTGGTTTCGAAAGGCTGGCAGGTCCATACCGGCCAACGGCTTGCTTTGTCGAGCTGAGAAGCTCCTTCTTCTGCTAGGTTGAAATAGAACCTTGCTCTTGTTATCTGTTCTCTCATGAAGTCTCTCCATCTGTTAGTGACCTTCCTTGAGAAAACATCCTTGTCGGATAATCCAAATTGTGCGAGCTCGTCTTGAGGAAGATAAACTCTCCCTCTCATGGCACTGTTTTAAAGATAACTAAAACATGTCAGAGAGATGCTGCAAATGGGGAAATTGCTTACAAATAGAAAAATACGTCAAAGAAAAGAGCATTGCTATTCATTGCTATTGGTGATGCATCACCGTACATGTGTCAGTTAAAGAGAACCGTCACATAACACAAAGTTATAAAAAGAAAAAGAAAGCTGGGTCCCATTAAAGATATGGTGATTGAATCGCCAGTGGTGTGAACAAATAACATTTTTAAAAGAAAATGAGCTTACTCTTCTCCCACATCTCGAAGTATATTTGTTAACTGGTTGCCAATACCCAAGTAGAGTGCGGAATCATATACGCGTTTGACGGACATCAAAGACTCCGGTGAGATTCCCATTATAGGAACACTCATTAGGCCTACAGTTCCTGCCACATTGTAGCAGTAAAGATAGAGCTCTTGGAAGTTCGCATACCGACACTTTCTGGTGTCCATTCTCATTCCTTCTATCATGTCCTGGAAAGGCTGTAGTCAAAGAAGAAGGTGAAATCTGTGAGATGAAAACAAACTCTTAAGAGTTTAGAGGAAACTTTTCTTCTTATGACTGGGGAAGATCATAATCTATGCATCCCAAGTAGGAGATCCAAAAATTTCTTAAAGTCAACAAGTGAAGTACCTTCATGTCTAAGGGGAACTTGAAAACAGTGTCTGTGAGTGCAGCATCAAGCATGTCATAAGGGCGTCCGTTGAAGATGTCTTGAAGTCTCTCTTCCCATCTCTCAAGAACTTCAGAGCTCATGTAAACAGCATTGGGACCATCAACAAGTTCATCTGTCCTCCTACACCAAACTGCACAAAATGTCGAAAATAACTGGGCACTTTTAGTTTGTCAAAACTTCAAAATAGGAAAAAATATGCAAACTTCAGCAAATGATGATTTCAGTTATGATTTCATTTATGTGGATATCTCAGTGATCCAATCAGTTATAAGTTGTATTTTCAAAATTGATTTTTGACTATTTTGTCAATATGAGAGTTGAGCAACAACTACTTACCATAAATTGCCCAAATGGCTCTTCTTCTTTCCTCTGTCATTAGCAAGGTGCCTGCATCATAATACATAAATACAGATGAAAATCTTCTTCATTTGTTAAAGAAAGAGACTGATTAATCCAAACATCAAATAGTAACCGTTCGATTATGTCCGAATCCATTTCTAGACTTCAAAAATATCCTATCAAGAAGTATAGTAGAAAGGAGATAAGGGAAATGAAATAGGACCTAGATAGAAAGTCTTGGCATACTCTGCACATATATTTCTGCACCTCTCATATGCTTCTTCAAGAAAGTCAGGATGGAAGTCTGGCTTTCTCCGAGCATGATCGTTTTCTCTCACGAAGCTTTTATGGGTCTGAGACTGCTTTTGAACAACTTCTTTGACGCGTAAATCGGTGAGCGAAATCCCAGCTTTTGTCAGTTCAGGAAAAACAGGTATGCTGCTTTGCTTCTTAAGAGGCATATATGTCACTTCAGCTCTTGTGGTGAAGAGCCTTTGAGGCATGAATTTAACGTTGCTTTGTCTAATATTGCATGACTTAGCAGCTGAAAGGGAAAAGGTGGTAAACATTTGAGCAGTTTTTTTTTTTTTTTCCTTTTTTGGTTACTATCTGCTCAAGTGATTTTGAACCTTGGGAAAATTATCAAATAACAAAAAGGGTTGTTATAAATTCTCTCTTCAAAAAGGAAAAAAAAAAAAAGAAGGATTGAATGATACAAAAATGTTGGAACTCTCTAGGATACCGAGAGTTATGCCTTCTATCTCTCTCTATTGTATCTATCTTTAATATAAGATATAAGATGTAAGTTTTAACTTTGGAGCATAGTACCATACTATATTATGATGCAAAAATGTGGTCCACTAGTCATGAAACAGTTAAGGGTCTTGTAATATAATAAAAATATATAAGTTTGCCACTGCAATTTCCAAATAATCTATTTCTTGTCTGTAATAGTTACTTACAAGAAAAGACATGAAATGTTAATAGGTGCTATAGGGAAATAGCGTAAACTACGAAGATGCTGGTTTTGTCTAGAAGTTGGCTGTCCAAGCATAGTTGTAGAGAATGTCTTTTTGTGCAGTCTAATATTAGAATCTTTATCAACTCTGATGCCCCTTTGTAAACCTCTCCTTTATTCTACTTGTTTTTGTTCTTTTATGTGTGTGTACGTTTATAAAGTGGATAATTATTTGGCCATGTATATTATTGGATAGTGATTTTTCAACAGATTAACTAAAAAGACATTAATCATTAGTGTTAACGTATGTATAGTACCAAGTGACAAAATTGGCAGATGAAATGCTGTTCTTTTTAAGTATATAGTTGGAGTGATTGAAAAGATGTTTATTTAAATTAGTTTGGTGTTAGGGTTAGTTTTTAAAGCTTTATCCTAATATTCAATGTAACAAAATCATGTAAAAAGGAAGGTTAACGTAGTTACCTTTATTATAGTTTTGACTTTATTTGTATATATTTTCATGCTGAAAAATCTTTTGGTCTCAGTCGGTTAACTTACCCGATTATGTACTTGTAATGTGTTTTTATATGGAGCGTCATTCATAGTGTTACTTACTAGTGAACATTCTCCCTTTCTTAATCTGTGGATGTAGTCACCTTGTTAAACCACATTAAATCTCTGCCTGATCTTCTTCTTTTTATTTTGTTATTTAATTATTATTATCGTGCACTCTTTGAAAAAAAAAAAAAAAAAAAAAAAAAAAAAAGAAGCCTAACTCAAATTCCTACTAATATGATCTCTTCCATTTACTGGAAACCAATAATGAAACCATCATACTTTTACATAATAAAAAACATGATCAGACACAAAGCTTATGGAGTTCTATATTTACTTTCTAGGCATGGACCTAGGTTTCACTTCCTACTCTGGTTCTAATCAGATTTATCTTAAATCAAGTGAAAAGACATGTTTGATTTTTGTTTCCACAACTCCAACATGACCTAAAAAAACAAAAATGAAAAATAGAGAAATCACAAAGATTGATTCGTAAGCAGCCTGAAAGGATCTTTCGAGATTAGCATTTGGCAATTAAGAACATAGCAAGAGCAAAGTTTCAAATTGTTTGTGCATTATTATTATTTCTTTCCTATTATGCTGAATTCATTGTGTTTCTCTTGATTTTTACTTGGTAAGCAGCAAATTAGCTTCAGACCTTTGTTATTCGACACAAAAACAGATGACAAATTCTCATATGTGATCTTTCTCCCAATGAAAAAACTCCCATAAAAGAAGGGGAAAAAAAAAGAGTTGTTCCATTGGTTGTCAGATTTGTGAGCTTAAAATTTCCAAGTGCCAGTATGTCAAGCAATTTTCAAACCCACTAGTCACCACAAAGGATATTCGTATATCCTTTTAGTATGTTTACTTTCATTGATTTAAGTTAGTGATGCCTTAATGTTCTAATCAATAGCTATTAAGGAAAATAGGGAAATAAAGTCAGAAGTAATCCTCATAATAAGATGTTTTAGATTTGAAACACTTGGAATAGTATTCAGCCTGTTTCAGACTTCAGTTAATTACAACCCTTAATCCATGGGACGAGGTCTCAATATTTGCATTCAGCAAATAAATCCAACCTTCCTCTTCTAGACTTTTTCTGGTCCATGATAGTATCAAATTACTTTTGCATTTCAAATAGTGAATTATATATCTTGCCATCAAAGGAAGAGACTGATAATTCCTTCTTTCTTTTTCTTTTTTTACATGGGAGTTTTTGTACTCAAGGAAATAAATTCAGAAATTTCAATGAAATAATGTGCCTAATAATTTGATTTGTATATTATGAATCTTCTGTTCCAGATACAAAATTCTATGTATAGATGATTTTTGACCATGCATAAACTGTTAGACAGCAAGGGTGTCTCCACAACAAGTTCTTAACCTAAAACAGACAAAAACTAGAGAGTTTCACTTGTTTATCTTCACACCATTTGCTAAGGCCTAAATGCTGCCAACACAACAGCAACTTTACACGCAAGAAATCCCATCATACCAACTATAAGCTCTTTTGGTGTCAACACCATCGTAAGATCTGCCGAGTTATACTTGACCGCTGAGTTATACTTGACCGCAAATAACGTGAAACCAATTGCCAATGCAAGGCTAGATATCGGGCCCTTAAAGCCACCAAATGTTCGCTCAGTTCCTCCTGTGTTCTTGTAACTCGATTCTGGAGCGGATATTCCATCAACAGACCTCTGCAGAAGAAGCAGATACAAGAAGCCAACAACCCCACCAGTTAAAAATGCAAGAGCTGCACGTTCTCCAGCTGTGAAAGATGTTGCCGACGTGCCAATACAGATCAATGATGCGTCATAAACTAGCAAAGAGAGCTTGAGATCTGCATATTCCCTCATGCTCTCCTCGTTTGATACACGTTGGCTTGCAAGTGAAGTTGGTTCAAGAAGGCTTCTAGTAAACAAGGTGGAGGCATCAACTCCAGATAGTTCGGTGACGCGACAGGGTCTGAATTCCAGCATGGAGACAATAGTCCCCTCCCCAAGCAGGATATCCTCAGCCTCAAATTCGTACGTGAAACTGGTGTATTGAATTTCTTCTCTGTCTCTCTCTTTCAATGACTGTTGACACCCATTAAGGACACTCAAGCTAACGCTACCTAACCTCCAATGGCCTGGCCTTAGAAAGTTGCAACAAAATTTGTTAGGATGCTTAATCAAACAGCATTACATATAATACAATAATTAAACAAGAAAAAGGACAAGAACACAAGTTCTACAAGGGCGTGACATCTAGGGCATGTTTATTAAATTGTAAAAATTCCGATGTAACTGGAAATGAAAGGAAACAAATACGAAAGGAATTAATGGTTCAATTTTTAGTGTTTGTTTTCCTTTTAGGAAGTGGATGAGGAAGCAAATCCAAATTTTTTATTTCCTAGTTTTATGATTTAAGTAGTAAAATATTCTTGTGCATGTAATTATTGATGAAAATTTAGCAAGGCTACAAAAGTAGTTTTGTGGTCTTATAAGGGAAACAATATGGCTGGTGACTTATGATTGACTTTCTCTTTCCTCATTCCTCACATCACGTGGACCAAATTAGCATTCTTGATTTACTTTACTAGCACATGAAAGTGTAAAAATGAGTTTTCCCATTTTTTATGTTAGAATCTTAAATCTAAACCATTCCAGATAAGATGTAATCCGTCCCTGCATAGTAAAGATACTAAATATTTAGCAGAGACAAACCTGATTCAACACCAATCCAAATAGCTTCAACTCTCCCTAGTTTTGGACCCTCAAAAGTGAATTCCTCCACAGAACCCTTTTGAAATTGGAGTAAGTCATCATCATCTGAATCCGCATAATGGTATCCAACCAAACCGGCGGAAATTCTCTGTAATATCGAATCTCCATTTTCGTCTATCAAACACAGGAGGACTCCGGCATTCGAGTCACTGAGGCTGGAGGCGGAGAAATTACTAGTACCTAACTTCACCTTATACAAAGACCGAGATTCGTCATTCCCAATATGCGCGAGAACATTTTCTGCTAAGTTATCTGTACATACTTTAATTTCTGCTGCTCGCAAAAGGCGAGCAGGCTTTGCATAGTCCCGAAAATCTGTAACAAGAAGACCCTTTAGTTCTTTTTATTAATCCTAAATCTCAGGGAAATCGAAAATGACAGAAAAGGAGATAGTAAACTATCGGATTACTAGTTTAATGCTCATTTGAACAGACCACATCCTTGTCATTCATTCATCTGCCGACATTAATCAAACTAAACAGAAGGCTAAATAGGTGATTTTTGGATTGAAGTATACATACACACATCCTACTAGATAGGCAAAACCACAGTTGTCTAAGCAGCTCAAATGGTTTCCACAGCACCATGGCTATTTAATGCATGATAACAATATTCATTCATATAAACAAAAATACATGTTTATCTGTACTACAAGTATAACCCATAACCATATATATATAAATATATATATATGCATATATGTTATGATAATCTTAAACGGAGCAATCCCAGGAACCAAGTGAAAGGTTTTATAATGAACAATTATTTAAAAAAAAAAAAAAAAAAAAAAAAAAAATTTTTAAAAAAAAAAAAAAAAAAAAAAAAAAACAGAAAAGAAAAAGAGACAAACTGACCATGGAAATCGGACTGTTTGGAGCGAATAGGTGGAAAGGGAGAATACCCAGTTGGTGATTTTGAAGGAAACGTCTTAACACGAAATGGGAATGCTTTTGAGAGGAAAGAGATTGCGACCGACTCCATCATAACTCTCGCACGCACCGATCAGCAAACCAACTCCCATTGCATATGAGCCATCAAGGAGATATTTTTGTCTTACAAGAGCAAAATTATTTTTAATAAATAAAATAAGAATGATTATAATCACAACGAGGCGTTTGTAGTCCAACGGTTAGGATAATTGCCTTCCAAGCAATAGACCCGGGTTCGACTCCCGGCAGACGCATAATGGGGTTTTTTTTTTTTTTTTTTTTTTTTTTTTCATTGAAGGTGTTCAAGTTTTTACTTTTTGGCACATACATTTACAAAATATCCACTTTGCATATAAAGAAACATTCACTTTTATCGTTTTGCATATATCTCTGGTGTTCTTCCAAACAAACAAACACCAACCATTATTATTCTAGTGTAGTACGCCAACAAAGAAACATAAAAAAAAAAATACTAACAACACTTTATCTGTCATTCTCTTGTATTTTATTTAAATAGAAAATAAGAATAAAATTCACGTATTAAATAATTAATAAAGAGAATAACAAAATAAACTTAGCATTTCTCGTAATAAAATTATAGCTCAAATATGTAATGTTGGTTTTACTAAATTCGAATTCAATCCGCATTCCATGATGTGGTTTTTTAAAGTTAGTACACGCACGCACCCCAATCCTCAAAGAAAAGAGCCCTTTGCCCTCTGACAAAGACCACCGCAAAGGAAATGGTCTCCAAAAGAGGCCTAATTTTGGTAGTCGAATCTCCATCCATCTTATCAATTTTTATTTTTTTAAATAAAATCTGCTTTGGTTTTGGTTACACTTATACATAGACCCTATTTATTATTGGAATTTGGCATTCAGCACCAATAATCGTGGGACCAAATTTTCAATCACAAAATACAAATGTAACCCCATTTCTTTTTTCGGAACATTCTCCAGGACGTCAACATGTCAGTATGTTAAGTTTTTTATCCGTTAAATCTGCATAAAATCACATAAAAATAAAAAATACGTAAATCTAATTACTAAAAAATATAACCCATTGATACATTAAGAGTACTAAAAAATTCCCTTTTTTCACTCTTCGTTTGTTTGTTTATTTGTTTGTTTTATTTGAAAGAAAAACATCAATTTACTTTAGCAAAAAAAGCAACTTTGGGCCTGTTTGTTACCGTTTTTGTTTTCATTTTTCACATTTTTTGAAGTAAAAAATTGAAAACAAATGAAAAACGCGTTTGGCGAAGTTTGTGTTAGAAAACAAAAACAAAAATGTTTTTGTCTTTTTGTGAAAAATTGAAAACGAAAAAAATACGTTTTCATTTTCACGTTTTCGTTTTCTGAAAACGGATTTCAGTTTTTTTTTTCTTCTCTCTCTTCCCCAGCCGAAGAAGACGCGGGACATCCGGCGAACGCCCACCGTCGCTCCTCTCCGACTGGCCCGCCACCATCTTCTCCGACTGCCCGCCACCGTCTTCTCTCTTCCCCTGCAGTTTTCATATATAATCATGTTTATAATATATTAAATATTTAATATATTTAATAATAATATTTATTTAATATATTTAATATTATTATTTATTCAATATATTATTAATTTAAATATTATTACATGTTTTCAAAAATTAAACCACCAAACGCAGTTTCAGTTTCTTTTAAAACTGAAATCAATATCTGAATAAAACTACCAAACGCATTTAAGAAATAATTCCAAAATGAAAACAAAAACGTTTTCATTTTTATTTTCATACAAAAAATAAAATCATTTTGGAAATAATTCCAAACGCATCCTTTATTTCTTTCTATATATAACCTTGCAGCCAAATTCTACTTTTATATATGGGTCCACCTAACTAAGGGCATGTTCTTTTGTCCAAAAAACTCAAAAAAGACAACTTGAGTTTCAACTTTATTCAAGTTCACGTTCTTTTAAGTTTCAACTTTATTTAACTTTACTCAAGTTACAACTTCAACTCAAGTTATAACTCAAATTCAACTCAAAAATTACACTCAAGTTACACGTCCGTTTAGTTCGCTGATTCGAGTTGAGATGTGATTTTATGTGAGAGTTTTTTACTGTAGCAAAAAAATTAGATGTGATTGTTTGTGAGAGCTTTTTACTGTAGTAAAACTCGAATTATAAACTCGAATCAGCGAAATGAACGGGACCTAAAAGAACAACCCCTGAATCTTTTTTATTTTTTTGAAATGGATGAGTGTTACAATACATTGGTGTACTCTTTTTTTTTTTTCCTAATCAAACCGAAACATTAGTGTACTTTGTGTCAGTGTCTTTCCTTTTTTGGGAATAAATTCTGTTTTGAACTTAGATTTGTATGAAAACCTGTTAATTTTACACATATAAACACATATTATTCATTTGATGCTATGTTTGAATTTTACATATATATATATATATATTTTTTTTTTTTTTCAATTTACCGTAGTTTTGATAATTTGAGGTTTTAAAAACACACCATTAGTGGAGGCCATGGAGCGGGTAAAGGAACAAATTAGAACACGTTTGATTTTAATTATATGAATTAAATAATGTCACAATCCCAAAGTCCACGCTACTTCTACTATCCATAGATCTCAAAATCCCATTTTCGACTTTAATCTCATTACTCCAATCATTCATTTATTCTACTAATAAAAAACCCAAAAAAAAAAAAAAAACATATCATTCATTTAAAAAATGCCCTTCTTTTTCCCTTTTTTGTCGTTTTCTTTATTATTATTTTTTTTTTGGGGTGGAAACTGAGAGCCATAGCCAAAAATTCATGTCAAATCCAGTTTGTTCCTCTTCCCACCTCTGAGCTTTGAAATCCGTGCCTTCCTTCCATGATTAACGTGGTAAGTCATTTCTATTTTATACCCTCTTGTTCCTTTGTTTTTCTTTTTCAACTCTGATGTTTCTTTACCTTAACAAGTTGTTCTACCAGAATCTCTGTTTGGTTTCCCAGAAAAGTTAGAAAAAAAAAGGTTGGGATTTTGAATGTTCTTCTTTTTGACTGACGATTAATTACTTTTGCTGCTTTATGCATAGATTCAGTTTAGTGAATTTACTATATATGATTCTGATTCTTACTATTTAGAGCCACACTTCCCACTGAGGGAGGGTAGCTTTTAGTTTTGTTGTAAGATTAGATTAGATTTCAAGTATTTCCATTTTCTGACAGATGAAGTTTTTCTGTGCTGATCTTCATTTTTGAAGAGAAAAAAGAAAGGAAAAAAGAAGGGGAAAAAAAAGTGAAACTAATTTGTTTAAAAAGAAAATCTTTCTTTGTTTTCTCATTGAATGTGAGCTGTGACTCAATTTTCAGAATTCAGTTATAATTAAATCTAGTTCATTCCTTGTGTTAGTCTTGTGAACATCCAATTCCAGTGTCTCCACTTCAGCTGATTTTTCGTACCCTGTTTTGACTTATTATCCTCACCAAAATTGAGAATTGGTTATTTTTAATTTTTTTTCTCTAATTTGCTTCTTGTTACAACTTGTTCTGAACAATTAATTTTGATATATATAAAAAAAAAAAAAAAAAACAGATCTTCTATCTCAATCCTGGTCATGGGGACTCAGTCAAACGATTCCAGCAATCCCAGTACAGATCAAGTGAAATTGCCACAAAATCAGGAAACTACTGACATCCAAACTTCTCCAAACCCTCAGGGACTTCCCATCAGTACCAAGCCCACTAATGCTGCCCCAAATGCAAAGACGTTGACCCTCCTTCCTCTTATCTTCCTCATTTACTTTGAAGTCGCCGGTGGGCCCTACGGCGAGGAGCCTGCAGTCAAAGCAGCCGGACCCCTGTTCGCCATCCTCGGCTTTCTCATCTTTCCTTTCATATGGAGTGTCCCTGAGGCCCTCATCACGGCTGAGCTATCCACTGCTTTTCCTGGAAATGGCGGATTTGTCATTTGGGCTGAGCGCGCTTTTGGTCCATTCTGGGGATCTTTGATGGGGACATGGAAGTTCCTAAGTGGGGTCATCAACATCGCTGCCTTCCCTGTCCTTTGCATCGATTACTTGGAGAAACTTATCCCGGTTCTCGAATCTGGCTGGCCTAGGTACATTGCAATCTTGCTATCCACATTGTTTCTTTCGTTTCTCAACTATACAGGTTTAGCCATTGTTGGATATGCTGCAGTAGTACTTGGTATTGTTTCGCTTTCGCCGTTTATTTTGATGTCTTTGATAGCAATTCCAAAGATTAAGCCTCACAGATGGACTAGTTTGGGCCAAAAGGGGGTGAAAAAGGATTGGAACCTGTTCTTCAACACCCTCTTTTGGAACTTGAACTTTTGGGACAATGTAAGTACCTTAGCCGGTGAAGTCGACAAACCCCAGAAGAATTTTCCCATCGGTCTCCTGGCGGCCGTCATATTCACTTGCCTCGCCTACTTGATTCCACTCATTGCCGTGACCGGAGCTATTTCTGTGGATCAAAATCTATGGGAAACTGGTTTCCACGCTGATGCTGCAGAAATTATTGCCGGCAAGTGGTTGAAAGTGTGGCTTGAGATTGGTGCTGTGTTGTCTGCCATTGGACTCTTTGAAGCCCAACTAAGTAGTAGCGCCTACCAAGTTCTTGGCATGGCAAATATCGGATTTCTACCCAAGTTTTGCTCCGTCCGTTCGAGAAGGTTCAACACTCCATTTGTGGGGATCTTGGTTTCAACTATAATTGCTCTAGCAATCTCCTACATGAATTTCACAGTCATAATTTCATCAGCAAACTTCTTGTACAGTTTGGGAATGTTATTGGAGTTTTCATCCTTTGTTTGGCTGAGAAGAAAAATGCCATCCTTGAAGAGGCCATACAGGGTGCCAATGGGGTTACCAGGTTTGATAATCATGTGCTTGATTCCATCAGCATTTCTGATATTTGTGATGGCCATTGCCACAAAGACTGTGTTCTTGGTGAGTGGTGTTATGACAGCGGCTGGGATTGGATGGTTCTTTTTCATGAGATTTTGCAAGTCAAAGAAATTATTCAATTTCAACGACAATGAAGAAATTCATGAAGGATCATCATTTGGGTGATTTTTACTTCATTTCACTTGGCTTGTTTGTAACAAGAAGATCTAGACGTCTTATACTTCAATTGTACAAAACATTACTTCTTCCTTAGTATTATTATTTATGTATTTTCCATTGCCTTTTTTTCTCAGAGAATTGTACCCTGTGATGTTCTTATCAATGATATTCAATAATCTAAGTAAGAAAAGAGTTCTAATGAAAGGAAACAAAAAAAAAAAAAAAAACCTTGCAAATCCTATTGTCAAGATTTTCACAAGTCTCTTTTTCATGTCTAATTGCTTAGAAACTAACATTTATTATAAATTGTGTTAATCGTGTTAACTCACATAAATCACTTAAATTATCATATTGAATAAATAGTTGATACAATTAGAATTTATATGACAGTTTCAGTTTTTATAATAATATGTAAAGGAAGATGACTAGACGAGCGACGTTCGAAATTTTCTGTTAAAACGGCAAAATCAAAATTTCATTGTTTTGCTCTTGTTGGTTTTCATTGAATCAGTACATTTTTCACTACCATGAACTCAGAGTCTTGACAAAGATAAGTGTTGTTCTGTTTCTATGATTCATGAGTTTTTCTTCCATAAATGTGAAGCGTGCATTTATTTTTATTTAAAACCTTCATTTTGTTTTTATTTCATCTGACTGACACAAACACCTTTTTTGCTTTGCCCTCTTTCTTTCTCACTTTTTCCAATTTGGCTACTCCTCTTTTGCTGGAGTATTATTTGTAATGATTTCTTTTCTTTCTTGAATGACGCTTTTCTTATTCATTTTCTCTTTTGACTTGAAAGCCTGAGCGAGATTTTTACTGTCAAGGTTTCTTTTTTTTTTCTTTTTTTTTTTTTTTCATTGACTCTATTTTGATGGACTCGTTAGATTTTTTTGAATTTCTTACATTCAATTTCACAAGACGTCTCTGTGACTGTGGCGGCTCAAACTTAAAAGTGGTGAAATATTTTGCTGGTAGTTTTGTCCATGCTATTGAAACTTGATTTTTTTTTTCTCTTATATATATATATATATATATATATATACACATTTGTTTTAGAAATGTTACTTTTACAAGTTTTGTTGCATGTACCTAGCAAATTAAGCATTGCAGCAAATTATTCAAATAAGAAACGAAGAACAAACAAGTAGTACTGTTTTATGCTTTCCAAGAACAATTTTCTATGCTTTGTATCTCAGATAGAGCTTAGAGCTTTGTAAATATGATTTTTTTTTCTCTTTTTCTTTATATATAATTTTTTAGCTAGCAATTTTATCAATGCCATATGAAAGTTGAATTTCTCTAACTCCAAATTTGTTGGGTATGTGCTATAGTTTTCATGTTTTCCAAGGATAAAAGTCCTGATGCTTTTTTATGTATTGCAGAAAAGAGCACTGCAATTTTTTGTTTTCTTTTTTTTTTTTAAAGGGAGTTTTATTATTTGCTCTTTGCAACACTTTTCTCCACTTGAATGAAAAATGGTATTTTTCAGTTTTGATTAATGCCATAACCAGGAGCTTGTAAAGCAATTGGTGCCCATTGAAATCCAGGACAATATTGCAAGTTTTTAACAAAATTTCGTTTCCTATATAAGAAGAAAGATTGATTGAGTTTATTTCTCCTAATTTTCTCCGTTCTGTCAACTGAATTCCAGGACATTGTTGCAAGTTCATCTTGAAACAATTTAAGTCCATTAATTCTTCATAAGGACATTGTTGACAAAGTTATTGAAGAGAAGGGTACGCTTCAAGCGGAATGGGAGATTTCATTCAATAATATGTGTTTTCATGACAATATGTTCTTCGTTTGTTGGATATGTAGGCTTCGAGTTTGATCACCTCAATGAAATATTTGATGTTTTATGTATATTGTAGAATTTCATTTTTTACATAAAGATTTTTAGCTCTTGTGTTATATTGTTGAAATTTGTCTACTTTCTTGCAATTGAACGAGGCTTATTCATTTGCACCTCAACTCAAAAAATTTTAAACTTAAGTTACAATTTTATTTAAGTTCATATTTTTTTTTTTTTTATAAAATTTGAGTTTGAATTTGAGTTTGAATTTAATTTTAACTTCAGTTTTGGGTTAAAATCTGAGTTCAAGTTCTCCATTCAACTCAAGTTCCTACACTCAAACTCAAGTTAATAAATAATATTTTTTCTATTCTTAAAAACGTCATAACTTTTTCGTTTTAATTTCGATTAAGATGATTTTTTTTCTATGCATTCACAATAAAGAGACGAATAAAACCTCACCCATATACCCTATTAAAATTTTTCATCACTATTGAGTTTTTATTAAAATACTATCCAAATATAAATTTAAGTTTTGACCTATTCACATACAAACTCAAATAGATTCTCAATTTAAACCATAACTCAAAATGTGCACATCTAAACACAAACTCAAATTAGAGTCTCAACTCAAACTATATTTAAATACACTTTAACTTAAATCAATATCTGAATTTAAATCATCCTAACTCAAAAAATATAAATAAACAAATCTTAAATATCTGAATGTGTGGTTGAAAGTTGGGATGTCATTTTAACTTTTTAACGACGGTAATAATAAGCCATTGTGATTCAATAATACTTAACATTGGTCAAAGACCGACAATGTTATTTTTTTTTTATTTTTATTTTTTTACATCCGTTGTTTGACTGAAGTTTTTTTGAACTTTTTTTACATCAGTCCAAAAAACTGTTGTTAAAAATAATGATTTGTAATGTAGCTCAATATGACGTGGATATAAAAATTGATGTTAAAAGCTCGTTTAGAATTCGTTTTAAAATAATTTTATTTTTTATATGAAAATAAAAATAAAAATGTTTTTAATCTCATATAAAAATTATTTTTAAAAATACGTTTGGTAATTTTATTTAGAGATTATTTTCAGTATAAAAAAAATCATTAATATATATCTTTCTCTGTGCTCGAGAGATAAAAAAATAAAAATAAAAAATAAAAAATGATTAAAAATTATTTTTTATTTCTCTCTCATTTTATACTAAATTAAAAAATTATTTTCATTTCTGTTTCTTTGTCTTTATTGCGTCAAACACCGTTTTAAAAATATTTTCATTTTTTTTTTAAAAAACGTGAAAAATAAAAATATGATCAATTCCAAACACCGCCTAAAAATTTAACAATGGTTTTTCACATACTTTAAACAACATTTTGTAGTATAGTTTTTTTTTTTTTTTAATAAACTTAAGTGAATAGACAACTTCAACTAGTATCTAGGTTCACTAAAATATCCTAAATAAGTTACTAGGTTAGCACCCCTTTTAAAATCTATCGTCTACTAACTCTATCACTTCAATAATATTAATAAGAAAGAAAAAAGAATAAAAACAATGAAAAAAACTGTGACAAAATATCCGAAAAATAGAAGACAGAAAACAATTTGAAAAGGGCCAAAACAACAACTTAGAGTGCGTTTGGTTCAAGAATTCATGCAATGATTTGAATTATAGTTCGTGATTTACTACAGTATTTTCTCTCATAAAAAATACACATAAATTAAAAATAATTTTAAATTATAATTCTAAATCTATCAACTAAATACAACATTCTGCGCAATGCGCATGTTTTAACTAGTAATAATCAAAAGGGCAAAGCTCTGGGTTTACATATTTTACCTTTTATTAATGGAAAAAGAAAACATCATAGTAGCTTTTTGATTAAAAATTGTGGCGATGTTGAATTTTCCATTGTTTTGACTTTCGACTTTGTTAGAGCCTTCCAGACCCCGCACCGCCCACAGAAAGGAAAATCAATTGTACTTTTGATTTTTAGGGCGCGTTCTAGAAAGCATATTTAAATAGTTTTTTCATGAACCATCTAGGGTGGTGGTGGTGTAGTAATGAGGATGCTTTTGTTAGGAATTCCAGCTCTTTTCGGCTTAGTTTAGTATTGTTATAAATTTTAAAAAATTACTTTTAGTTGTACTAATTAAAAAAAACATTTGTTATAAAAAATAATTGAGTATTTAATAAACTATAATTATAATAGTTGTGTTATTCTAAAATTAGTATAATACCGTTTAGTAAATTATGAGGTTAAATAATTATGGATAGTTAAAAATTACGACTATATTATATTTAATATAATATAATAAAACTATTATTAAATAACATATTTTATAATTATCATATAAAATATCATAATATTATTAAAATGGTTAATATAATTACAATATTATAAAACATATTATAATATTACATTAAAAATAATAATATTTCAGTTATAATATATTTAAAAATTACAACTATATTATTATATATTATAATTATTATTAATATAATTAGTTATTATATATTATATTAAACAAATA